CTTGAGTTCACTTTGTAGCCTAGGCTGGCCTTGAACTCACAGCGCTCCTCCTGCCTCAGCCTCCCAAGTGCTAGGATTGAAGCCTTTTTATTTTTAATTTTGAGATAGGAGTCTAGCTAAGTTGCTAACTTGCTCAGGCTGGGTGTCTTAGTTACTTTTCTCTCATTGCTGAGACAAAAAAACTGACACCCATAGTTAAAGGGGAAAAGGTTTATTTAGCTCACAGTTTGTAGGTTTCAGTCCATACCCCGCTGGCTCCAAGGCAGGGAGGCACAACAGATGGGGATTGCAGAGGAGAACAGTTCATGGTGAACAGAAGGTAAAAAGCAATAAGGAACAAGACAAGCCTTTTTCTGTTCCTTATATTGTATCTGGGCTTCCAGGATTAGGGTGGTGTCAAACCAATCAGTGGAGTGATTTAGTAATCACCCACCCTTAATCCTAGCATTGCACCGTGAATCATTCACACACTCTAGATTCAGCCCCCTCTGAAACACCCTCCCCCATATGACTGTATGAAGATTTGTAGGGAACACTTAAACACAAGCCATAACACTGGGCTTGAACTTACTGTCTTCCTGCATTAGTCTCCCAGGGTGCTGGGAGTACAGGTGTGCACCACCATGCCCAGCTTAACCTCATAATGAATATCCTGGAAATAGTCACTGATAGATGGAGGTTGGTATCTAGGTTCTTTTTTCTTGGTTGTGATACTTACCTAGTGTCCATGGGCTGTTAATAAACTGTCTAAGAAAACTCCTGGTATTACTTACCAGATACTGTGTCTAAAGAATGGGTTAGCTTAGAGACTTCCTGACTGCTGAGTAGGGTTCCTATTATTCCAGAATTTGTTGTTTTGTTTGTTCTTGTTTTTGATTTTTGGTACTGGGAATTGAGCCCAGGGCCTTGTGCATGATGAGTGAACACTATTGCTAAGCAACATCCTTAGCCCTTTTAAAATGTAATATTTTATTATGAGATAGTCTTACTGAGTTGCCAAGGCTGTCCTCAGACTTGAAGTCCTCCTGCCTCTGCCTGGCTCCAGAATGCCTATTTTGCTCCTTGCTAGTCTAACTGGAAAAAAGTTATCGCCCCCCTCCTTTTTTGAGACAGGGTCTCAAAACATAGTGCAGGCTGGCCTTGAACTCACTTATGTAGCCCAGGCTGATCTCGAACTCATAGTGATCCTCTCGCCTCAGCCTCCTGAGTGCTGGGATTACAGGTGTGTGACACCACACTGGGCTCTTTCCTCCATTTTATTCCCACTTCCTCTTATCCAAAATATGGCTTTGTAGAAAGGCTAAGATCTTGTCCCCTGTTAAAAAAAGGCAGCTACTGAGAACTTTATGTAATGATCAACAACCCCTGAGTTGGCATATTTTGTCTTTACTGCTTCCCTTACTGTCTTGGGTAGGAAGTCACTCTCAGGAAGTTGGGTGTTAAATGGAGGAAAGCCTTTCTGATGCCACTTTTCTGTTTGATAGGCCGAACAGTGGCAGTGGACTGGGCTGTGGCGAAGGATAAATACAAAGATACACAGTCTGTTTCTGCACCAGGTAAGGTGTGGTAGTGTTGGGTAAGAGGTAAGAGTGTGGAAGCAAGTCTTGAATTTACATTAACAGAGAACCTGCTTGTAAGAGAATGGGGGTATTGGGCTGGAGATACCAAATCACAAAACTAGCCAAAAGAATAAGATAGAGCATTTAGGAAAAACTGAGTTAATGCAGGTTCAGGAATGGGCCCAGGGCTATGTGTCAATGTACATTGGACTGTCTGGTAATCTAGTGCCAAAATACAGGATCTTTTGATTCTTGGCCTACTCCTAGGGTGTGGCTGTGAGTGGTGAGAGTTCATTTTTCCTTCTGCTTGCTCTCCTTTCCCAGCTTCTCACAGGAGTGGTGAAACATTAAGAGTAAGGAAATTTAAAACTTGAGTTTATTTAGAAAACAATTGGCTTTTAAACTGTAAGGGCTGGGAGAATAGAACTCACTGAGATCAGAGCTCATGGCAGGGCCCCAGGGTGAGTACTGTGTGGGCTGTGGTGTACCGGCGGTGTGCTGTTTGCTGAGGTACAATTGCTACTTCTCTTGTTCTGGGGCAAGTTAATCTCAGGTCTTTGATAAGTAGAATACATTTCAGAGGAATCTGGGCAATGCGGGTTTTGGTTTTGTTTTGGTTTTCTTTTTTCTCTCCTACTTTTTCTTATATAAAACTCATCTCTTGGGGATTGGTTCCAGGACCCTTGTCACATGTCAAAATCCTTGAGTGCTCAAGTTCATTAATATAAAATGGTCTTGGCTTGTGTAGAACTATGCACATTCTTCCATGTGGTGTCTCTAGACTGCTTGTAATATCTTTTTTTTTTTTTTTTTTTTTTGGTACTAGTAGTTGAACTCAGGACCTTGCGCTTGCCAGGCAGGCACTTGTGCCACTGAGCTATATCCCCATCCCTTGTTATTTTTATTTATTTTTTTACTTATTTTTGGTCTTTTTGAGACAGGGTTTTGCTATGCAGTTCAGACTGGC